GCAAAGTGATCTATGAAAAAGAATACCAAATGTAAGATCTGAAAGTGAAACTATAATAACTGAACTAAGAACTCAATAGATCAGACAGAGCAGCAAGCTGAATAGTAAATCGCGAATGTCAGTAGAAAATATGCAGAATGAATCACAGAAGGAAAATGTAGAAAAGAACAAAAAGATATGCACACCCGAATCACAAAAGTGAGACAGACCTCGATGTATATATAATTAGAATCCCAGAATTTCAAGAGAAAATAGAAGTAATATTTAAGATACAGGCCAAAAAATTTCCATAACTTGAGATTTGCATCAGGTCACAAGTTAAAGTTACATAAAGTATCCAACAGGAACAAATGTGAAGAAAATACCACTGAAACACACCACAGAATCACAGAACACTGACGTACAAGCATAAAAAAACATAAAAGCAATTAAAAAAAACATTATTTCAATAACAGTAGGACCAACAATGAATTCTATAACAAAAATGATAGAAACCAACAGACAATAGAATAACGTTTTTAAAAACTGAAAGTAACTATCCATCTATAATTCTATGTCAACCAATAAAACCTTCAAAAATGAAGGAAAACTTTCAGATGTACAAAATCCCAGAAAACTTAAAATGTATGAAGACATAAAGGACTAGGAAGATACTGCATTGTAACATATGAAAGCAGTAACAATGAGGCCTTGTCATGGAATTTCATTCTGCATGCACTAATGTCAGAATGATGATGCTAGAGAATGTCCTACAGCCACTGCACTCACTATGTAAGCAATGGTTACAGTCTAATTTATACTAGACTTCAAAAAAATTAAGAATGCTTTCCTTTCTGAAAAAACCTTTAGAAAAAGAGTAAAAGAAAAAATCCATCAGAAGAGATAAATTGGAATTTTTTAAACTGAAGACTCTATGATAGGCAAAAAAAGGAGGAAAATGCAAAGAACAGATGAATCAAATGGAAAACAGGAAAATGACAAAAATAATACCAGTTACAATAATTTTTTATTTAAATGTTCTAAATATTTTCATCAGAAAATAATGAGCCAGGGGTCGTGGTGCACACCCGTAAACCCAGCACTCCGGGAAGCTGAGGTAGGAGGATCAGAACTTCAAGTCAATACAGACAGCTCAGCTACTTAACAAGAGCCTGTCTCAAACAAAGTACTGGTGATGTAACTTCACGTAATACCAAGTTCACGCCCCAGTAGCGCCCCCGCAAAAAAGAGTATTATTAGACTAGTTTTTTAAAACTGAAATATCTGCTGTCTATAAGAAGCATACAACATACTGTTCTTTTACTATTTTGTAAAAGGTTGTCTGTCTGTTAATGTTTTCCTCCTTTTATTGTTAAAATTAAAAAAAAAAAAGACGCACACAACAAAGGTCAATTATAAAAAGACAGAACAAGACCTACCATGAAAGCACTACCCAAAGAAAGCTACCATGAAAGCACTAACCCAAAGAAAGTTGATATAACTAGTAACAGGTAAGACTGTTCAGGTAAGAATCATTACTATAGATCAACAGATGTATTTTGTGATCATACAAAAGTCAATCTACCAAGAAGATATAACAAATTTGTTTGTATATGCCTAATTATAGAGCTTCAAACTCTCAATATCGAAATCGGTGAAATGACTAGGATTTATTTCAATATACAGTAAATGACTAATGTTCATTTTGCTTCAGATCCTGGCATATTTTGTATTATATAAATTATAAAATATTTTCTCCAAGTATAGCTACAACTTTGGTCCTAGAATTTAGAAACATTGATAATAAACTTTTTATTTTATGCATTAAATTTGTCTAATAAAACTTCTTCTCCCGGACAACACTATGACAAAGCTCCACTTTATACGAATCAATTTATTCAAAGAATATATCATAAGATTTTAAAATACTGATTCAATGGACACAAAGCTTTTGTAAATAAGGAGCGGAAAAGGGGTTGAAGACAGGGTGGAGATTGGGGAAAAAAGAAGAATACAGATATATCGTGTACAGGTACAAATTCCCTATGATGAATTTTGTAATTATGTATATCTAAAATGTACCAATAATTAATTAATTTTTAAAAAATAAACTAAATTTGAAAAATAAATAAGATAGAAGAAGAAAAACAGCCGCAGCTAAAAACACTGATTCAAGAAGAAAAGCAGCACTTTAAAATACATTATTACTTTAAAAGAACAACGTAAGCCGGGCATGGTGGTAGATGCCTACAATCCCAGCACTCTGGGAGGCTGAGGCAGGAACATCAAAAGTTGAAGCCCAGGCTAGGCACTTTAACAAGACCCTGTCTCAAGTTAAACATATAAAAATAAAAGGGATATAGCTCACTGTGAAGGCTATGGGATCAACCTAGTACCAAATAAATAAAAACTTCAAAAATTTTTAAGCAATAATTGACTCCTCATAGTAATGATCTTGATACAATCAACAAAATGATCTTGGAAGGGTCATTAGGTGAACTCTGAATTTCATCTCATTACCTCTAACACTGATAGTAAATTACAAAAACATCCCACATAATTCAACAAGGATACCATACAGCTTGGGCTGATCTTGAGAACAGCACCTGTTCAGCACCACTGAGTAAGTCTGGCAGGTCCTTACAATTATAGCTTTACTGCCTGTTATCTATACAGCGTTATTACAACCAATATGATCTAATTATGTGATTTTCATTTGATAATACAGTACTGTTAACTAACATATCTGACTATAAAAAATAACCTATATTTTTTGACCATTAATTACTCTAAGGAAAATCTGGTAGTTTTCAAAACCCAACCTGTACTCACTTTTCACATATATTCTTCCTCATATTTTTAATCACTTAATAAACTTTTATTATGCTGCTAGTAACACTCAGTTTGTGTGTAAAAAAATGTATATACATAGGTAGGTATATTAAAAAAAACACCTATATCTGGCAAAAAAAAAACCTGACTCTTCCTCTGACATGACTTTTTCCAGTTTCTAACTTTCATTTCAATACAAAAAGGAGTTTATAATTTCAAATGTCTAACCCTCCACTTAAATCTTACCATCGCATTTCTATTTGATTATTTGGTCTGTAATCAATTTCCCAGTAATAGTACAAAATTGTCTGTAAAAATTTCATAAAAATTAACAGGCCAAAAAACCCTCTTCTTTTTGGAGAACTCTCACTAAAATATAAATTGAATGCTTATGTTATAACAGATACTTTATATATATTACCTTATTTAATTTCACCATTATTCATATATCTGAGAAGAAGAAATTACAAATCACAGAGGTTAAGCAATCTGTCAAAGGGTGTGTATGAAGCAAGAAAAGCCAGGCTCTGATTCTAGGTGTGTCTGTTTACAAAGAGACAGAGTAGCATTAGTACTGTAGGTGTTGTTGGCCACTCTCTATCACAACTACTCAGTTGTGTTGTAGCACAAAAGCAGTCACAGACAATATGTGAACAAATGAAAGTAGCTGTTTTCTAATAAAACCTTATTAACAAAAAATCTAAGTAGAAGGCTAAATTTTATCCAAGGTCTGCAGTTTGCCAATCTCTGCACTATACTACAAATGCACTTCCTCTTACAGATCTTTAGCTTTTCACTGACATCACTGAATTTCCTTTTCTCTCCCTTTTAAAAAATTATGACCTTAGTTCCACTGAGCAATTTTATTTTAGTGCTTTTCTTATGAGGTTTAATTTTATAAAAGAGTTTACTCAAAAGACTCTTTTAACTATAATTCTAGTTTGCCACAAATTCATCTCAAAGTGAAACATTCTTGAGACTATGAGGATGCACTATATTCTCAGTGTCAAGCACTTATACTTAAAATTCTGTTTTAAGCTTTCTTCAGTTATTAGTATCAATTTTAACTGCTCAATCTATATTTAATCAGCATAATCACAAGGACCTACTAGCATACACAAACAGCTACAGCAAATACTCTCAATTATTTGAAATGATCATGTACACTAAAACCATGCAAACACCTAAGAACTTAAGACTTTGTCTCATTCACTCTTATTCCAAAGTTCAACTGTAATGTCACCATGGAATTTTTCATATAAAAAGATTTAAATGTGCAAATTTAAAAGAAAACCCGCCCTTCTCCATCCAAGGTTTAATGCCTTCCCTTTCCCTCTCTACGCTGCATCACTCACACATTTTCCTAATTTGTTCCCGTCTTTCTCTCAGTCCCACACGCACTGTATCTTTAAAATCCCTATTCAAGTCCAAGTAAAACTGAAAGAATAACAACAAACATACAAGATCAGGTTCAAGCCCAGCTCCAAAACTAAAACCAGTTAAATAATCGCTCCGTAGCCTTGTGCCTTCATCACCTTTTAAAACCTCTGTTAGTCTGCCTTTCCTCATGTGGGTGCTGTGAGCATCCAAGCAAGAATTAAGACAAGATGTCCGTAACACAGGGCTGACGCTCAGCCAATGAATCCAAGTTCCCCTTGCTGCTATCATCACCTCTGCAGCCCCCATTCCAGGCGAGTCTCACACCTACTGTATGCGCTCTACTGAGTGGGGAAGCACAGCCACCAGTGGCAGAGATATAACTGGCAGAACAACCCGCAAAGCCATTTGTCACTGTTCTTGAAAGACAGGGGTGGGGGTCCTTTTCCTCAAAAGCTTAACTGTTCCTTTGACAACCTTTAAAAAACCTAATTATATTTTTTTTATTCCTAAAAAGAAACAAATTCAACTTTTTCCTTTGTTTTTCATTATGTTAAGTATTTTTAAAGCAAGACATATTTAAAGATCTAACGTGTTCTTTTCTAAAAAGTGCCACTAACAAATAATAATAAGAGAGTGTAAGGCAATGTCGTATCATGGCGTACTTTCTCAATTCCAAGGTATTTAAAACTTCACCGATTTGGGGCACATTCTTGTTGCTTCTGTTTTTAATCTTCTGAGTTAAAGGAAGCACAATGTTAACTGTATGCTACAGCTGATCTAACATTAGTGTGCATATAAACGTTTCTTACCAAATTATGCTTTTTTAGTGGAAGAAAATAATAATAATGGCAGAAAGAAAACATCAGTGCGTAGCAAGTAAGAAGTTCAGTGTAGAAACACAATTGCAGAAAAAGCCAGTGATTATCTTCACCAACACAATTGTTAATCCTGAAGGGGGAAAAAGGAAAGAAACAACATTTTAAACTTTAGTAAGACATTCATTTTCTGATCAGTGAGACCAAAGATAAGCTCATATACTTCACATACACTTAATTTCTCAGAAATGTGCTAAAGCTGCTCACCTAAAAGCCAACTATACAAAACCAGAAGCACAGCATCTTACACTTTAAAGCATTTTATACTCTAGGAAGGAAGTCCACATACGTACCACCTGCCTTCAACTCTCAACCACACGATGAGGCAGACAAGGCAGATGGCAGGAGTCTCCTGTGTCTCTGGTACGGAAACAAATACAGGGGAGCGCAGGCACCCGCCAGGGCACGCAGTGGGAAGAGAAAGGGGCCAAGAGAGGGAGCAGAAACCACCCTCGTCCAGGAGTGTGCTGTGGGAGTGGAGAAAACCTGAATGTTTTCAAGTAAAACAGCTTCAGCTTGGCCACTCCGAAATATTTGCTGAGTATTCACGGTTTTTCTTGTTTTTTTTTAAAAAAAACCTAGGCCTGGTAGCTAAAAATAAAATGTATTCCAAACTACTAACAAATACTTATAGCTACACTTCCAACAACACAAGAGTGAAGTCTCACTAGAAAACAGATTGTTACAATCCCAGTACTTTCAAGGGTAATTTAAGATGAGTATTTCACTGTTCTAAACTTACTGTGCTCAAGTTTTCAATGTATTGTAAAGCTCCAGCAGAAAATTCTATCTCAAAATTACCTTGCATAAATATTTTCACTTCAAAATAGTACTATACTCCCACTGTGGGACAAAATGTATAGTAGGTTTTAATCCTAGCTTAAATTGGTGTTAAGATGTATCATTAATCTCTGTTTTAAAATCAAATATAACTGGGTGTGGTGGTACACACATGTAATCACAGCACTCAGGAGGCTGAGGCAGGAGTATTGCCACAAGTTCCAGCCTGGACTACATAGTGAGTTCAAGAGTTGAGATCCTGTCTCAAAAAAAAAGGAAAGAAAAAAGGAAAAAGGTAAAATTGCAAGGGCAACCTGAAGGAATAGTTGCAAATTAAGTACATGTGATTTATAAACAAGAAAATACACAATGTTTTGTTATCTGCAGGCAGGGCTATAGGTGAAGTGACCTTAAGAATGCACTCAAAAATACTTTTTAAAGAGCTGTTGCTTAAAAGATGACATCCTTGTCCCATCCTTCCTATGCCCGAGAAGTTTGAAAAGCTGTTGTGATCACAGCTTTCCTAACCAGAGAAAGCACTAAGGTACTTAATCAATATATGAGCCCTTTTTTAAACATTTCAGCTCCTTAGAAATGTGATCAAAAAGAAAAACAGAAAACACAGGCAATCTGAGAACTGGCTTCCAAATCTAAAGATGCTAGGCAGTTAAATAAAGGTAATTTCTGAAAACATCAAAAATTATCTCTGCTTCTAGCTTGTACTGTACATTTCTCTCCTCTGACCTTTTCAGCAATGCTCTATTAGGGAATTAAATCACAAAAAGTCTGAATTCTACAGGGTATAAAAAAAAATATGGTACATGCCTACATAAAAAGTTTCAAGACTGGGGCTGGGGATTTAGCTCAGCGGCAAAGTGCCTGCCTGGCAAGCGCAAGGTCATGAGTTCAGTTCCCGGTACCGGACAAAAACCAAAAACCAAAAACCAAAAAAAAAAAAAAAAGAAACAAAAAAAGTTTCAAGACTTTCTTATGCTAAAAGACACACTGCCATTAATCCCCCTCAGGAGATTTCCCAGGCTTTGAACACAATGAATCACCCATCATCGCCTCCACTGTCTGAGGGAGTTCCGGAAGCCTCTTTCTGTGAGTGTCTTTAATTGTCCTTTCATGGCTGCCTCAGTATCCTAAATCAATTCAAAATGTTTGCAGCCATTTCTGTCAAATAAAAACATTACTATCTATGTCTTCATCTACCTACTGACCAGATCTGGCACCATGTGACTTCTAGCTCTTCATGACCATGAAAGATCAATGTTTTGAAAGGATCGGGACAGGGAGGCCGCCACAACAGGGTAACAAAAGACACTCACACAAGAGGACGTCCAGAACTGCCTCAGAAAGTGGCAAGAACGATGGGATCAGTGTTTAAGGAAGGCACAGCACAGTATCTCACAGGGTATTAATGGAATGTGGCTTTCACTGTAATAATTTTTTAAAACTTAAAACATTTACCATATTTTTCAATCACACTACATATAGAGACTCCTTTTCACTCGTTTCCAATCTTTTGGTCTTTTTTTCTTTTGGTACCAGGAGTCAAACTCAGGACCTTACACTTGCCAGGCAGGTGCTTGTGCTGCTGAGCTACATCCTCGGCCCCTTTAGCTCTTTTTTAATTCCCCTCTTCCTGCTACCAACACTCTAAAAGTTAACTGAACCTATAGAAGCGATAAGCCTAGAAACAAGGAAATCACCCCAGTGTTAGAAGTTAGGTGGCACACCTTTATTTGGTCACCAACAAGCTAGTCTTTCTCTCTTAAAAGTAAGCATCACTAGTCTCTACATTTCTGAGCAGATTTTTTTCAACCTTTAAACTATGCATTCTTTTGCATGGAAGCACCAATATCCAATTGTACTGTGAACATTTACCGTATTTTTAGTTCATCAGAAATACTACCACAAAAAGTGCTTAGAAGTGTGCTCACCACTTACCTGAACAGCTTTTTAAAACCTATTATTGCCATGATTGCAGACATCATGGAGATTTAGATAGTCACTTGGGAATTAATCTGTCTTAATAAGGTACATCTTTTGAATGCTGTATGTCATGTACTATCTTGTTGATACATTTAGAATACTATTAAAATATTAATACAGTAACAAAGCATTTTTCTCTAAAATATTCTCATATTTTCTAATCTAATTTAATCTGAGTACAAGAAAATTATCTTCTATTATAATAGTATACACTAAGAACCAAATTTCCACTAAAAGTCTGTTAATCGGTAATGTCATCAAAGTAAGTTACGGGAACAAGGGAAACACTAAATTGAATAGCATTTATTAGGCAAAGGTAGATTCTACTCTTCAGTTAAAGAAACACAGTTATAAACCAAACTGCTGTTCAGTTAACTTCATACATGCACACATGCATGTACAGACATAAATATATATATAGATATATTTATAAAGTGTTATACTATACCAGTTTAAATATTTATACAAATCCAATTCTAGAAAAACAGAACTGAATATAATGTCTTTGTTTTGTGACCATTTTGAAATGAAATATGATACAGAATTCTCACAGCGTTTTCAAAAATTCTATTTTTCAACTGAGGATTTTCCTTAAATATTACAAGAGAGCCCCCTATTGACCAAAAATGTTGGCAGTGCAACAGAAACAGCTAATTACACTTAACACACATACAACATGCACAAAACGTTAATCCCTATGTCAGTACACGATACTGTAAAAGGTTCACAGAATAGAAGGGGTGACCAGGGTACCTGCAATGTGTTGTTCTTTATTTGAACAAGGAAGGGAGAGTACAAACACTGGGGTGCGCAGGGCTTATGATGATAAGGAGTAACAGCAGCTACTTAAGTACTTCCTACACATCAGATACTGTGCCCCACGTTTGCTCACCGGCTCATTTCGCACATGCACCTTAGGCTTTTTGTATAATTTAGTGCACATTAATTACAGTTTTCTGCTCATGTATCTCCTTATTAGCAACAACCAACTGCCTGTGGAAAAAGGACTTTGTGGATTGACAGATATCTACAATCAAATAAAGGTATCCTTACTAAAAGATGTTCTCACACTGACTAATGTTAATATAACTGTGTTGAAGCCCACTAACCCTGAGCTCCCCTTCCAGCTCCTGCCCTAGAAGCAGATCGCTCTGTTCTTACCATGGACAGTGGTGGTCCATCCTCCTCACGCAGTGGCCGCAGCGGCTGCAGTGATGGGAGCGCTTCGGCCGCATCAGGTTACACTTGTTACATAATTCCCAGAGCTCCCGTTCTAGAGAAGGACATTAAAATCCATTTAACGAAGAAAGATGAACAAGGTTGAAATGCAGTGACAACGGTTTACAAGGTTTTAGAGGAAGTCTTCAATATATATCTCTAACATATTTTTCTAAGTCTCTGGTGTAAATCTGCCATAATGTAGTTGCTCTATCTATGCCTATTTTGTATATTTCTAATTTTAAACATTCAGTCAAGGTACAGGATAAAAAACAGTATACTTGTGTTTTGAAAATATTGTGAGAATATACGAAAATCTAACAACAAAACCTTAATGTCCACCCAAATTATTTTATTGATAGCATTTTACTTAGACAAGTTAATTTATAGAAACTTTATTAACTAAAAGCACTAAAAAAAAAAAAAAAAAAAAAAGAATGTGAAGTCCTGGTTTGAGTGGACTAAGAATTTGAAATCAATCCCATAAACTCATAAGGCAAACATACATGGCAAAACCCTACCGCCCGACAAATATCATTTCTTTTTGTTTGTTTGGTTTTGGTTTTTTTTTTTCCAGTATCGGGAATCAAACTCACAACCTTGTGCTTGCCAGGCAGGTGCTGTGCTGCTGAGCTAAATCCCCAGCCCTAATATCATTTCTCTAAGCCAGTGATGGTGAACCTTCCAGAGTTCTCAATGATACAAAGAGCCCACTGAAGCACATGTGTCATATACATTTGCCACCATGGCACCTAAATCATTTCATTTTTCTAATGCCAATGGATTAATTTGGGACTGTGTATAGGAGCAGATTGGAGAAGGAGGTCATAGAAATTTCGAAGGCAGCCGAACAGTTTCAGTAATGAAGGTTAGAAGAACAGCAAAATATGATGCAATAAAGGGGTTCTTAAAAAAAAAAAAAAAAAAACCCTGCCCTCCCAGCAAATAGCAATTTTCTCTGACATATATTAACAGAGAACACCAGTAAGCTCTTGTGCTAAAAACATGTGATTTGCACAAAGAGAAAAAAAGCATTAGTTTTTATCATAAGTTACTCTGATCAGCTCCATAAAAACTGTAAGAGTCATCTTTTAAGTCAAGAAAATTGCCTCTTACTATATTAAATGTATCCTCAATATTTGTTGTAATGGAATTTTACTTTAATAAAATTATGAAAAGTTTGAAAATTTCGTTTTATGTTTACACTATTTATATTTATGTTTACACTATTTACACGCATTTATGTTTACACTATTCCCCCACCTCACTTAAAAGTATGGGCATAGTATTAAAGCTTAACTTAGATACAGTTAAGCTAGTACAGGTATTTAACTGTAAGTCAAATGGAAGCTCATTTAATTGTTAACATATTACAACATCACAAGCGTATCATTTTTTCCCACTTAGTTCAATGCTCCCAAAAATTCCAATATTAAAACTTGAAATTTACACACAGCAAAGAATATAGTCAGGAAGGAGATTCTGTGAACCAATTCTAATGAACCAGTTTTCACAACAGGCAACATAAAAACTTAATATTTAAAAATCAATGCTTTAAAACAAATACAGTGTTTTCTTCCCAGTATTTTCTGAGAAATCAACATATACTATTCTAGACAACAAATTTTTTCATACCTAAAATGCTGTCTCTTCAGAAGAGACAGCATTTGGCTACAGTCGGAAAAAGCCTGAATTCTGTGCTCTAGACCAGTCTGGCAAACTAGTCTGCAGGCAAATCCAGCTCATTTGCTTTTGTATGACCCATGAGCTAAGGGTCGTTTTTATAACTTTAAATGATTTAGAAAATTAAAATAGTAACTGGTGACATGTAGAGTCATATGAAATTCAAACTTCAGCGTCCAAACACAGAGTTTTACTTGCTACCTATTCACTCCCTTACATACTGTCTCTGGTTGCTTTTGTGCTACAAGGGCAGAGCCGAGCTGTGACAGAGACCATACAGCCCCCACAAAGCTGAAAGTATTTACTACTGGACCTGGAGAGTGAGGTCTATAGTCTGGACCTATAATCTGGACCTCGCTGATCTACATTTCGGACTACAAATTTGCTTATAAAGAAATAGTTGAGATACTCCTTTGGCTAAACTGATGACACTAAAGAAGCATCTGAAATGAGAAAGACCTCTATAAACTCAGTTTCACACACATGCACAAGTACGCACACTCTATGTGATCAGAGAAGAAACAAATTACTATCATAAAACTCCAGAATTGTAATTAAAGTATCATCTACAATGCTCTTGCTTTGTGTAGGAGAAAAACTCACTCACTTTAACCTTGCCCATATATATATATAAGGTACTTCTTAATCTTTGCCATTTTGTTCTTTGGCATTTACTAATGTCAAAATAGGATCTCAGTGACTGATACATTCTGTTGTCTGATGATTACCTACAAGATTTCTGTACAGCCAGCTAATAATATAAATAAAACTCTACTTCAATTGATGATGTGTGAGTTGCAGAAAAGTTCAAAGCCAATAGAGAACCCTTTTTACAGGGAGAGAAAAAACAAAACAAAGATAAAAAGATTCTCCGTAAGTGACTGAGGCTGTGCCATGTAAGTAAACAGCACGACATTTACTAATGTCATTTTTACTAGTGCTGTAGGTGCCTGAGTGAATATAAAGCAATGTTTGGTTTGGTGGGCTTTGGTTTATCTCAGAAAGCATGGAATCATTTTCTATTTGCGTCTTTTTTTCACTAGTTCATGACTGCAGACCACAGCGACTGCATTTGTTGTAGGGAACTGGTACCCTCACACGCAGTGACACATCTCAGTTCTTTTTCCCCCTCCCTCCATCCCTCTTTTATTTTACCAGCATCAGATTCATTTATCCTGAGTCATTATAAAGTTAATTCTCATACATACAGATTACCAACCAGACTAATACACCCAAAAAGCAGGCACACACATCTGTCTTTTACAAGACTCTTCATCTTACAGGCCCTCTCTCAATTATCATATTTTAAATCATGAAGTTGTTTGGGGAAAAAACTTGACTTGAAACTACCAAAATCTGTACAAGGTTTGGCTCCTACATAGACTCCATGACATAAATGACCATCAACATAGGAAAGCAAATGTCAGTAACATCAGAGGAGAGAATAAGCTACGACCCTGACCGTAACAGCACATGCACTTACGGTCTAGGGTAAAACTTTCAGGGACAGCATCGAAACCAAAAACTTGGGACACTTTGCCCTGCAGTGTTATTTCAAAAAAATGGCTCTTTGGATGACAAGAAGAGTCAAAGGTGCTAAAGTTTGATGATACGAATGCTTTAATGCTGACTTTGGTGACGGTTGCACAAGTGTACAAATATACCAAAAGCCATTAAATCACACATTTTAAAGGAATTTACACTCAAAAACTGATTAAGAGTTTGAATAAGATCACTTCATAAAACATGACAGTAATAAAAATGGTATTTCTAAAGGTAAGGCGTTGGTTTATTGAAAGGAACAGTTAATGCCTAATTGATCTATCTTGTACGCCTCCATCTGGTAATCTGAACAACGACTTTGAAGATAACACTATGCAATATAACAATCATTGTTAATTTCCTATCATCGTGTTTTGAAAAATTGTATCATTTTTATTGTTTTTTATTCTCTTTAAAATAAATTTTAAAAACAAAGTTAAGGCATTTTATATTTGTTATATCAAATATTCATGTAAATAATCTGAACATTACAATCAGACATGTAACAATTTCATTAGGTTATTTCCTCTACACACCTAAAAGTTTTTAAAAGCAAATTCTGGAAATTTCTCATAGGAATATACCCATATATTCAACATGTTTCACATTCAACAGGTCTCATGGATACTAAAATTACTCTTAAAAAGAATAAAAGAAAGGTAAATAAAGTATTTCAGAGTAATTCAATTAAAAATGGTGAGAATTAAAAAGCATTAAGGCTAAAGCCTTGCTGAAGAACTCAACTATATGAAATTGGTCAACCTTCAAACATTCCTGAATAAATGTCACCATTATATAGCTTTAACTCTTTCATCATACTGTTATTTTTCACTGTTAAGTTTTGTATTGTTTTTACTAAGTTAGAACCATATTATAAAATAATCAGATAGCCAGCACCAAAAATAGATAATCTCAATTTTTCCCAGAATCATAGCAAAAGAGCTAAAATTATTAATCTCTACATACCAGTAGGCCCAAGATAAAACAACAGAGACAACACTCTGGGCTTCAACCAGCTGTGTAACACCACAGCTGTGTACCCTAGCATGTATAATCCATGCTACTGAGTATCCACCTCACCTACCTCAGTTATCAGGAGGATCAGCCCACCTATCCCAACTACCAGGAGGATCATGTGATATGAGACTGCCAAGAAATTTGGAAACATCCAAATATAATAAATAAATGTATTTTTTTCCAACTGATTAATAGGGAAGTTTCTTGGACTCAAGGAAGAGAAATAAACCAACGGGGGACAAGATAAAATACAGACATCCAAAACATCACCAGGACGGCACGAGGTTCTTCAATACTAAGACTCTATACTCTAAAGATAATGCAGTAGTTTCATGGACCCAATTAAGCCTGTAAAATGCTTGTTTTGTACTCACATTTTATAAACGTGAATTAATCGTTGACTTTTGTAAATGTGTGTGGTGCTGAACAGTAAACCCAAACTCTTTTTCAATGACAGAATTCCTCTTAAAAATTGGGATTCCCTGTTGAAATGGTTTGGATGTTATCTATCCCCATCACAAGGGTCTGTGTGTGGGGAGCTGGGTCCTCAATGTGTGATGTGGAAGCTGACACATCTTTAGGAGGCAGCACGTGGAGGCCCCTCTTGGGTTACTGCCACACTGTCTTTGGAAGGGAAGAGCACTACTTTCCTGGAGAGGGAGCTCCGGAGAGTCCTGCCCCAGGCTCTCTCCAGCTTCTTGTGTGGCAATGCAGTTTCTCATTCCCACAGGTCCTCCTGCCTTTGAAATCACTATTACACGACACAGCCAAAAGAGCTCTCATGCAGGCATCATTCTTGAACCTCCAGAACTGTGAGTTAAAGGAAACTCTCCTTCAGAAATAGCCTACCTTAAATGTACTGCTACTGTGACACAAAACACAGAAAATTAGACCAAGTAAAGTCATTACTGTAATAGTCCACCTCAAAATGTGGACTGGTTTTGGAACTAGGATTTTGGCAGAGTTTGGAAAAATTTGAAAAGGAAGCTAGAAAACGCCTAGAATGCTATAAGCAGAATCTTATGGGCAACTCTGGTAAGGACACTGAAGAGGATTAGGACTAGCAAAATAGTCCTAGATGGAATGAGAATTCTACCAGAAAGGAGACTAAAGCCCTGCCAGAGCATGTACCATGTCATTTGGACTTTCATCCACAATTGTAATGTAAATATACCTTTTTTGTATAAAGTGAGCCTGCCTCAGGTATTTCGTAACAGCAACAAAAACCTCCTTCCAAAGTTTAAGATCTAACAATCTAAGTGTATTATAATTCCTCAGGAGCAGACTCGCATGCTCCTCCTGTTAAAGACAGGTATGTGTCCCTTCAGTATGAAAACCTGGCCCCTTTTACTAACTGGTGTGTCTGGTACCTATAGTCATTTGAGTTTATCAGAAATGAGCTCCAAGTTTTAAAGAATGATGCTTTGTTCTGGGTTACTGTATTGTAATATTGAAGTAAACAGCACATTTATACAACATGTTGGAGAAGTTCTGGTGATGCCAGCTGGGAAAAGGAATTCCCTGTACAGATCGCTGAGTGCCATCCTCCTTTGTGTCTCCACTGCAAAACACACACTAACTATATAAGTAACCAGTAACTTCTACAGGTTAGTAAAAACTAAATATTAAATATAGTAGTAACGAATTTCTATAGCTACATAAACATTAGTGTAATCCTATCTGATCTCTAAATTTGCAAGGCCAAGTGACTCCAAAAGTGATGGGTCTCAAAAACATAAAATCAGGATGTATAGGAAGTTCTGTAAGTGACCTGGCACTTAATCTCATCACATAAGGAATTACTGCATTAGTTTCCAAACTTTGCTGCACACTGGAATTATTTAGAATCTTGTGAAACAAGTAATACCCATGCCTATATCCATATATTCTGATTAAATTAACATTAAAATTAATTCTGACTAAATCAGACATTGAAATTTTTAAGACGCTTTCCAGGTAATTCTATCATGCATTCAGGTTGGAAGCCACTAAATTACTATAAAAAGTACTGGTTCTACCATGTACTGCAAAGACACGTACAAGTGTCTTGCTAGAATAAAATGCAGAGTTCTCAAAGATTATAGAGCAAAAATTCAAAAAATGCGACTCAGGATAAATAAGTTTATACATTATCTGGTAATGCATACACATAATAATCAACACATTTTCATTCATCTTTGTGGTCTGAATGGATATGCAACAAGATGATCAAGTTACCTTTAAATAACACTAGAGTAAAAGGTTTTCAATTTTTCACTGGATTGTTAGAATTTGGAGAATTAGAGGTAATACTGTCCATACTACTATAAATATTCACTCCAAGAAATATACTTGCGATATCTTGAGGTTAATGGCACCAACAAGAAAATTTCCTTTGCAAATAGAAATGGAATTTCTCAGCCAGCCAAGGTGTCACATGACTATAATCTCAGCTACCTGGGAGGCTGAACAGGAGGATTAAAGGGCAGTCTCTCTCAACAATTTAGGAATACCCTGTCTCAAAATAATATTTTTAAAAGGCCCTGAAATAGAGCTCAGTAGTAGAGCACCCCTGGGTTCAATACCTAAAACTGCCCCATCAAAAAAGAATGAAAAGTATCTTGCATAAGTATATTCCAATCAAAAATATCTGCTGCACTTCTAAGAGGCAGAAACTGCTGGACACCAGGGTTACAGCACTGAACAAAGAAAATGAAACAAAAATCCACAGCCTCACGCAGCTTAGATATGGACAGCAATGTACAACTGTGGAGTGGACAGAGGGAGACAAACGTAAGCAACTGGGAAGGACAGCCAGGCAGTGAAGGAGACACTGAGGGGCCAGGGGGCAATTATAACGGAGAAATCTGGGAAGAAATACGAGAACTTAAAAGGGGTGTTAAAAACAAGCGGTGTTAAATGACATACAACATATACTAACGCAATAAGATATATTAACAAAGATCATAATTCTCCATCAGCAAAACTCAGAAATCCAAAGAATACCGTACCTCCATGTGGAATCTTAGGGTTCTCAGGGAGTCGTCCTGGGTCAGTTATGGAGGCCCTCACTAAGGCAACCAGACAAAATATAGCAATGCCGTAGAATACTTCAAAACAAATTAAATAAATTACTCACTTACCCTTTAAAGCACTTTATCAACAAGCACAGTTAGTTTAAAAAGTATTTTATCTAACATCATGAGGATAAATAATTTTCAAAAAATTTAATGACTCATTTTATTCACCAAAAAATACAATTTTAAATATTATTTGATAGAGTAGTAACTGATAAGCTTGCTACAAATCAGGTTCTTTATTAACAGTGATTCTCTACCAACAATGGTATAAATGTATGAGTTCCCCTTTAAGTACATGTACTACATCTGAAAGGATTAACACAGTATTTAATAAGTATTCTGCAGGTAAACCTTTACATTAACTCTATCTTCAAATTACTCAGAATTAGTGATACTTAATTGCCTTTTGATGTATCTTAAGAATCTCTAAAATAAAAAAGTAAACTTCTGAATTTTAAAATAAGCAGAAAATATAACAGTGAAAAAAAAAAGATTCAGTCACCATAATTTCACATTTAAAATTGAAAGGAAGTATTCTGTTGAGTGAATAAAAAACAAGACGTTGTAAAAGCAATAATCTGAGTGCTCATCAGAACTGACTGCACAGGTTGATCAGTTTTATCATTTTTAAAACAAAGATAATATTTCTCATAGCTCTTGTGAAACCAAAATGAGGTAAAGCATGTGAAAAGTGTAAATGCTATGTATATATATCATTTGGATGTGATTTTTAAAATCATAACCCAGTCATTATCAATGGACTGAGTAGAAAACAATTATCCAGACATTTAAAGTGCTTTCACAACCAGTGATTTTCATATCATGAAATCACATTTCCTAGCAATATATACCAACAATCTCCATTCTTACAACTTTCAAATTTGCAATTAAATATAGAAAGAAACATTAAAATCATACACATAAATTGCCACTACTATGGCAGTTTTTTCTTCAGCAAAATAGTCTTTATATATTCTGCAGAGTTAGATGAATATGGAAAGGGCATTTTGATCTAATTTTGCAAATACATAAAGGTTATTTTTTAAAACTTCCATATTTTAGTAAATGACAATACTGATAACACAACTAAAATAATAAGTACATTAAAGGAAGGTTATCACAGAAAGAGCACTACATTTCAAAAGCATTCACAATGAGAAAAATCTTAAGGAAACAAAGATCTAGAAACTTACTTATTATTAGTATGCCAGGAATATGTCCTTCTTCATAGTGTGGAAAGAGGACGATTTTGGGAATTAAAATAATATTGTACAACCAGACAAAGACAATCAAACCCATGCAGCACCAACCATGTGGGTCAACAACAAAGTGAATCCGGAGACCCATTTTACAGTCCTATGAGTACCTGGCAAACACCCAAGGAAAGACAACCCTAAGAAAGAAAAAAGAAAAAAATTACTAACGTAGAAAAGTCTTATTTGACTAAAAACTGTATTTCTGGAAAGTACAAAATTAGTTTTCTTTGTAAATATTCTTATGACAATAAACATAGAAAAACAAAAACTTCAGAATACTCAAATTTCACTAATTTCACTGAAATTAAATAATTTAATTTCAATTTTTCATTATAAATTTATATTAAAAGTACAAACTGGCATTATCTGCTGAAATTAAAACACATTTTTCCTTAACCCAACAATTCCATGTGTACACTCAAAGGACATGAGTATATATAGTCACCAAAACACATGTAAAAATTTTAGCGGCTTTAACCGTAAGAACAATCGACGGTCACACAAGTCAAAGTCCTGGTATCTTGGACTGGAAGAAGTACATATTAACTGAAAAGGAGCTTCAACAAACCCTGAAAGGCTAGCGACACTCTGCATCTTCAGCTGGATCGTACCCTGTGGGCATGTGCACATGCAAACATTCCCTGAGCTGTGGACCTCAGACCTGTATGCTTTAGTTTAATCTTAAATCATAATAAAATATTGCAAAGAAGATTTTGAAAAGTAAAAAGGGCTAACCGTATCAAAATTCATGGAATAAAGCCCAATTAATCTCATTGCTCTTAACTCAAGAAGTTAAATGTTTTTTTTTTTCAGCTGAACACTAACAATCCACCAATAGATCTCCAAAAGAGACAAAGAGTTAAGATACTTCCACACATATGATATGAGTAAAGTGACTTTAAAAATATATCCATACTTTAGTAGATACAACTTTAAAAGCTTACACAATATTTATATGGTCTAGGGAGCACCTTTTACACAGAAAATAAGGTATATTAATAAAGACAATGATTCTCATCCCTGCAAGCAAATTAGAATCCACTAAGAAGGTTTCAAAAATACAGTCACAGACACCATTCCAGATCTACTGAATTCTTCAAAATGACCCAAAACCAATGAAACCCTTGAAAACACTCTACAGGTGCTGATACAGCTGTTAGTTAGGAGCCGCTACGGAATCTCACTCAGATGTCAACGTTACAGCTTGGGCTGGACCTAGCTCAGAGCCTCCACTATATACAAGTCACTTGCTAGATCCTACAGATACAAATGTGAATAAAACACTGCCTTTACTTAGGAAACTAACAATCTAGTGGGGCAAAAGTCATTTAAAAAGCCTTCAGTCTAATAGGTGAAGTCCCAGATTTGTGGACAAGTTGCGGATGAGGGCATAGTAGATGGGAACGAAGTATACAAACTGTCATCGCAAATCATAAACCTTTTTGGGAATAGTGACTGGGCAGACATAAGGGACTACATCATGTAGGACATAAAGATGTGCAGTTAGAATGTGAATTCATCCCTATGCACACGAAAGCTACCAACACAAGGGGTTAACATGAGAAGATTTGCACTTTCCCTAACTTTCTGGAGCTCTGGTGTAGAGGATAAAGACAGTTGAAGAAAATACAAAAACCAAAGTACATTTTAGAGCAGGGACCAACAGCAATAGAATCAATCCAGTCAGTCCTCCTAACTGATTCTACGCTAGGAGTTACACAGGAAAGTGAAGAATGACCCCTAGATTTCCAACTGTCATTCTAAGAATAATCTGCTTTCAACTGAAGAGCCACATGGCACCATCCTCATAGGCCTTGCCAATGCTCACCAAAGTGATAAAGCTATCAAAAGAAAGAAAGAAAGCAAAGCTAACAGTTAATTTTAAAGAAACACCCTTCCTCTCATTCCTAAAAACAGCAAACAGTGGGGCAAGAGAAGGAGGAGGAGGGAGAGAAAGGACAAGGGGGAGAGGAGGAACAGGAAGAAGACAGAGAGGAGGTGGAAGAGGAAGAGGACGAACAACTCAAATGCAGTAACATCCAGTGGTTTAAGCCAGATAGAGTCCAAATTAGTACTTCTGTATCAGAAATCTAAACTATGAAAAGTGCCAGGCCTTTCGAAAGTAAAAACTGAACTTCACTACCTTTCAGTTAGTAAATTAAAAGACAGCTCAGTATCATTAAAGTGAGGAAAGTCAGGATAAAACATCCTATGTAATTTACTAGGTATCATTTTAAAACTAAAGTAGCTCAAACAGAAAAGGTAGTATTTGTAGAGCTAAAAAGAAACATTGTGAACAATGTTAAATTGTTACAGCCTAGCCAACTATCAAATGCAGAAGAAATGACAGAAACTTTCTTAACATGCTCACTATTATTAACTTCATGTACCTTCCTTTTAATGTGTCAGTTCTATTCAGTACGAAAAGAAAAAGTGAATTCCAATAATTACACAGCGTACAGTAACTTTTATTAACATTAGAAACAGAAGAGCACATACTCCAGCAAAATAAGGAGGATAACTATCAAATATTCAGTTTTTCAACTCTTCCCTCTACCAAAAATTAACATTTCTATTATCACTAAGAGATCTCTTGCAACAGAAAATATTACATAGTAAAAAGTATCATTTAAAATGTGCCTAGCTTTCCTGAATGTCAACATACAGACATGACAAACTCTAAAAGAACAGACATACTCAAAGAAAAGTAAGCATAAGGTAAAAATAAATAAAACTACAAACAAGTAAGATGTTGAATATTTGAAATAAATACCTCATCAGTAAAAGTTAGTGCCACATAACCTTTGCAATAGGGTTGTAGAATGTAAAGCAGTGGTCTTCCATGAGCTCCAAATCAGATCACAATCACGAATATGTAACTGGCACAGATGTCAGGATCTCTCCACTCAGCTAGTATCTACCAGGCTACCAGGCACGGCTTATGGCTGAACAGAAACTATTACACATCCTAAGCAACAACCAAACTGAACACAGTGCTGCTGTTTCATCTTAAGGGCGGCATTTATAAAATACTTTCATTGGCCAGAGATTCCAACATATTAATTTATATATTAAGTGGTGCGCTCGTAACTTTGATGTGACTACTAGACATACTGGTACTTCAACATTTTTTAAGATTGCCATCTGGTAACTATACTCGAGTGCAGTGACTAACTTCATAATTATGTAAATTACTACAGCACAGACTATTTTTAAAGAAATTATAATTCAAGTCTAATAAACTATATTGAGTAAATATGTGTGATGACCAAATTATTCTGATGGTATGCTACCTTTCCCTATTCCCTTCTCAGGCAACTATATCTTACCACATTATCTTTTCAGGAAGAATACTCAAGTCACTATGAAATAAAAATAACAGAAAACTACCACATGATAGAAAACTGTAACATCAGAATACAGGTTTTAGAACATCATAAAGACTAGACAAAATAATTAGCCAGACATCTAGCCACATGTTTGTTCCTAAGCTTAGTTTCATATGATACTCCACCTCAACCAATGTAGTTTTATTACTGTCCAATAAATCTAAAACAATATATTCCATCATTCATACCTATCTGAAATGTGCCTACCACTCTGCTTATTCTAGTTAAATTCAGCTCATAATTCAAGACCCATCTGACTCTCACTCTCTATATGAAATTTTTCTTGAGGCCTCAATTCACAGATATTTCTTCCTCTTCTAAGTTTCAATAGGAAGCAAAACTACTAGACAAAAATAGCAACTGGTTCTAACACTTGGAAGGAGGATGATCTTGACAACCAAGAGCCCAAAAGCCATGTTTGACCACATTAACAATTAACATCTGTGAGCCCAGAACCACCAAAAACAAAGTTAAAAGAAGAAAAAAACATCCTTGGAAAAAGTAGAGCATAAAACTTATAAGAGACACATAAAAATAGATACATGCAGAAGCAATTCACAAATAGAAAAAAATCCAATGGCTAATCATTACTGATTAGGAAAACATGAAACAACTAGATATATTTTGTATCTACTAGACTGAAAAACAATATTGAGAGGGCATAGGGAAAGGGTGATCTCATATATTACCAATGTGTACGTAAGGAAAACCAATAGAACCATTTGGGGGTGGTAAAACCTTTTTATCCAGCAATTTTCCTTTTAGTAATACCTACAGAAGGACTCATGAGAGTGTTAAAACACATACACATACAATGATGTACAAGGATACAGCACTTATTGTAATCAGGGAAACATGACACAAATTAAATGTCCATGTACAAGAGGGCAATGATTAAGTTCTAATATATCAATAGTATAGACAATTTGTAAGCTACTACAATTTAGGAAGAAAAAGAATAAAATGGAAAAAAGGGAGGTGGATCTGCATACGATTAACCTATAACGTACTACTGAGTGAATAAGAAAGTCATATAGGCAAAATCTATGAGTGGGCGTAGGAATCTTAGTGGTATTCTGGAGAGACGGGGACAGAGACGGACTTGGCAGGGGCAATGAGGGAACTTTTCTGCTACTAAAGATCTGTATCTTGATATCGAGTTGAGTTATAAAAGTGTGGAGAACTTTTATAACTCAGGAAGTATACAATCAAGTTTGGTACATTCCATGATATGTAAATTAACTCAAAAAACTGTAAGTCAACATCGGACTCCTGTTAATGATATGTATACTGAAGTTGGCGTGTGTGTGTGTGTGTGTGTGTGTGTGTGTGTGTGTGTGTGTTGCAGGAATATGCTGATATCTGCAATTCACTTTGAAACAGATCCAAAAAAAAAGTAGATGGCTGGACAGAGAGAAAGATGAAAATGTCATGAAGGTCAGTAAAACATTAGCTATAAAATCTAAATGATGGGTAATCAGATATTACACTATAAAACTGACTTACATACTTCTGTTTGAAACTTCAAATTTCAAAATCAAATGTTGGGGGAAGCAAGGTATAGAATGGTTTGAATAACGTATCTTGTTAGAAAAAAGTAATATATAAGGAACTTCTGCATGTGCACAAAAAAAAATGCCTGGAAGAAAACATAGCAACCAGATTGCTAACAGCGGTCATTTCTGGACTGATGCAGGAAAATAGTGGGGATTCATATATTATTTATATATTTATGTGTTTTTCTAAGTGTATCAACAAATATGCATAATTTTAAATCCTTTTCAACCAACTGCAAAGCAGAAACAGCATAAAGGGACACTGATAACCTTACAAACAAAATGCATAATTTGAGCCTGTCTTTGTTATTATGTATTAGGTGATTTTAAAATTTGTTAAAATGCCATGCAGAAAGATAACCTATAAAGCCATGTAAGATTTACAATTTAAAACAATATTTCTAAAATTTGTATTACTTGCATATTATTTTTCCCACTGGAAAAAAAGGCTTACTTAAAACTGTTTAGTTAAAATGAATATAAAAACATAAATTAACTCATTTACTAACAATTAACAGCATCTAACCATTAGACTTCATAAAAAGGATATATAAAGGATACTGAGCCACATAAATCACAAATATAGTCTCGTGTAAAATCAAATGCAAACTTACCAACTGCAAATTCACCAAGATGTGCTGCGATTTTTCTGGTTCTTGCATTTAGAAGTTTTATCTCGATTCATTCTTTATTAAATTACATCCCACCAAATGGACCTCTCTTCAGTAACAGTTCTCCATGAGAACCTATTAATGGTTTAACAAATAATAATCTCTCATAAAGATAAAAACTGTAAACAGCTAAACATACTAACTGTGAAAATGTTAATTAAAAATACTTTAAATTCAGAAAAAGAAAAGGTGAGTCAGCACCTGAGTCTGTGCTTTGGTATCCTATCTGTTCCCCCAGAGTTTGTGATCGATTACCATTATACATGAAAGTTCTCTCTTCTGAAATCATCCAATCCCCACAAAATCAAATAAACATTATGCATCCAGCATCTGTGTACACAAACGTCCTTGACCACAAATCACAAAGTAACAATAGACTGAGATCACTAACGTGACACATGCAAGGTAATGTCTGTCAAGATGTAGGCTAGAAGTACTTAATTACAATTGATAAACAGAAAATAAAGTTTCAAGTAGAAGTTTCAAACTACTATTTGCCTACATGCCCATCAACAGATGAAAGAAAATGTAGAATATATACACATGGTGGAACTGTATTCAACCATAAAGAAAAATGAATTCAGGTCATCTGCAGGAAAAAGATGGATCCTGAGACCATAACGTTAAGTGCAACAAGTCAGGCACAGGAGTTGAACGTTCCACTGTTTCTCTTATGTGAGGAATACAAAATATAAATACATTAAAGTTCGAACAAAAGAGAGACGGTAGAAAACAGGATGGCAGACTTTCCGAAGAGGGGAAAGCAGATCAGGGAAAATGGGAAGAGAGGGGAGGGAGGAGGAGTAAGACACAGAAAATGATCAAGACATGGTATGTACGTGCCAGTTCCCCAAAATGAGGTCTCAGTGTAAAATGCTTTAGGAAAAAAAAGCTGTCCTCCTACAATTAAACCACCAAAAGTCAACCACAGAAGTTAATTTCTGCAGTACAAATTTAAAAGTAGTAACACTGTAAAGAAGTTTACACAAAATATACCAATTCACTACTTTATTAATCCAACCAACATTTACTTACTATATATTATTCTTGGGCACATTACCCTCAAGAGAAACAGACTAGTAAAAGAGACAAGATTAATACGATGTAAGACATTCTAAGACAGCAAGGGGTCAAGAATGCATTTCATATAGTAAGGACATGAGTTCACAGAATTTTCTCCAGATACTGTGTACTGGACTACAGTAGAACCACCTTATTTCTTATGCTAAACTGTCATCAGAAAAAGACTCCCAGAGACAAGGAAGCCTGTGAGTTAGACAGAAGAAAATCAGAGGCTCTTCTGACCAAAAGAAAAATAAGCAAAGGTATAAAAGCAGGCAGAGAAAATGTGTAAGCAGAAACGACTAGAATCATTGTATATGGAAGAATGGCGTAATGTATGCCAAACTCTTGACCACGATCAACTCTAAAAAATAAATTTTGTGACATTGGTACACATATGAATAACTGAAAATTCTCCCTTTACTACACAGGATGCACTGTGATACTGTTATTCTACCTACATTAATACAAATATGTAATACTAGTCACAGCTTACTGAGCTCATGATGCACAGGCAGAAAGCAACCCTCACACTGAAACACACCGTGAAGCCATGGACTTCACCCTGAACGCAGTGGAAAACCACTGAAGGACTTTTAGGGAGCAAATTCCAGGATCAAATCTGCATTTGGGGAAGTACAGCAACAATCTAAAGATTGGCTTGGGGTGGAATTAACGCACTGAGACCACTCACATGTAACAATCTAGACCGAGTGTCACCCAGGTGAGAAATGCGGAGGGAACATGGTGCACATCCACAAAACCCTAACTTAGAGGGTGAGTGTGAGTGTGTGAGTGACAATTAGGACAGAAATAATGAAAAAGGACAGATCCAAGAGAATTTAATGAAGAAAATTTAAAGGCCCTACCTAGTGGTCAACTGATAACAAAAAGCACAGCAGAGAGTGGTTTCCAACTTTTGGGCTTGAGGACCAAGTGGAGGGTGGTAGCATTCTTCAGGAAGGAAACAAAAAAGTTATAAACTGGTTAAGCGTACTGCTTACCACCCTAAGAACAAATGACATTACTACTGAAGATGTGAGAATTACATCTAAATAATCACTGTGACATTTCCATTCCCTCTTATAAACTTAGGGAAACAAAAAATAAACCAAAAAAAAAAAATCACCTATATTTCCTCCCAGGGTCAATTTTTCTATGATTCAAGATCATCAGATTGTGAAATGTCACTTCTTTCTACGGGAAGGTTTTAACGTAATTAAATTGGTCTCCTTGACTGCAGGTTGCTTCTTAAGCAGGAAATACATTATGACAAGGTTAAGGACTTGCTACCCCCAAAATGAATGAATTCTATTTTCCCAGAAAAAAAAAATTCAAACAGAATTAAATGTGACACAACAGAATGTTCTGAAATACAGCCAAAGGCAGTAATGCTGCTAAGGTAACGACTCCAGTTTGTCTTCCTGATGACAGTAGTTTCTGTCAGTGATATTGTTAAGTAATACCACAAGCCAATCATCAATGAGTCAAATCTGAGTCACTCGCTGGCTTAAAATCGAGAAAAATCTCACTCTACATTTACAGTTACTAGAGCTATACTGCAGACATAGCATCTGAAAAACTACTTCAGGCTAGATCAGCACCACCACCATTACCAGATAATGAAATTATATAAAAGTAATGTTAGGGTCAAAACTCCAAAAAAAATAGCGGGGTATGCCTGGTGCATGCCTAAAATCCCAGCACTCAAGTAACTGAGGCAGGAAGATGGCCTCCAGTTCCAGGCCAGCCCAGGCTACACAGTCAATTCAAAGCCAACCTGAACTACACAGCAAGACTCTTGTCTCAAAAACAAAAACAAACAACAAAAGGACACAAAAAAAAAATCCTCCAAAAAAGTTTTCGATAACAATATCCCAAAGTTTTAGAACTACAAGATGCCATTAATCATTTTTAACACTGCCATGTCTGAAAAAAATACGATCGACAATTTATAGGTTAAGTTTTCAAACACACACACACACAAAGATTCTCTCCAGTGGCCAAGAGAAAATGGATATTATTATATGAAAATACTGTACATGAAACTTAAAACATTGTTATAGCCAAAAGTTAATGTAGAAAACAAAGATGTATCTTTAAACATGTTTATAAAGGTTGTCATCTGATTATATTCTACTCTGAAAACTGGCTAATCATGAGTTTACCTAAAATATCAGGCTCTAGCTACCTGTAATAATTTGCCAATGAGGAAATTCAAGTTCTAAAATATCACACAGATACTCAATTTATTATCAAGAGCAGGAAATATTGTGCATATGTTATAAATAAAGAGCCATATTTCCATTCTTACTCCCTTTCCAAGGTAAGATCTGGCCAACTGTAAAATGGGGACAAGAATCTCAATTTATAGGGCTGAAAACTGACACTACAATAAGAAGCTGCCTGGCAAAGAAGCAGCATCTCTAAGACGGTAACTTTAAAGGGGGGTGGGGAAGAGGAAGAGGAAGAGAGGAAACTTCAGTTTTACTTCTAGTTTTAGGAACTGAAAAGTGAAAAGTGCTCCTGCGTTATCACTAAAAGTAGTGAGTCAATACCCCAACTGTCTCCTACTCTCCTACTTGCAATAGTAAGTCAAGTCTGTGAACTAGTTAACAAAGGGAGGAAAACTTCAGCTATCCTATGCTATAAACACATAGAGAAGCTGCATTGCTGCACATTGCCCTGGGATCTTTGCCAGCCAAAAACAGAAGAAAAAAAAAAAAAAAAGTAGGGGTTTCTAAAATACAGTGATTAAAAATTAGGCATGGCAGTACGCGCCTGTAATCCCAGCTACTCAGAAGGCTGAGGCAGGATAATGAGAAGTTTGTGGCCAGCTTGGGAAATTCAGGAAGACCCAGTTACAAAATAAAATAAAAAGGTCTAGGGATATAGCTCAGTGACAGAGTGCTTGCCTAGCACACAAGGCTCTGAGCTCAACTTCCAGTTTAGCGGAAAATACACACACACACACGTTTAAAATCACACTCGAGCATTTTAAATTACAACTGAAAGAAAAGTAAACAGCGAATTGCAAGACACCAACTTTTCCCTAACCTGCCTTTTTGTGAAAGGGGCAGAGCGAAATCCCTACCTAGCCTGTGAAGAACAGTAGGGGGAAACAGAGGCCCCCCCATCCTAGACAGCCATCACCCTCCAATCACCGCCATAGCTCACCCCCAATAGGAGCACCCTGCTACTTCTAGTTTATAAGAGGTATTTACCTATTCTTCTACTAGATCTACACTGTTTTTCATTTCTAGCACATCTGAAGAAGTTGAATGTGAGTCCTAATATTTTGCAAAGTAATAAAATGACTACATTTTTAATAAAGAATAAAGAAATAAAAGAAAATCTGCAGAACAATCTCCTCGCAATAAAAAGTTTTTCCTCCGCTTTCCCAGTTACGCCTGGCAGAACTGACACTAATATGCTGAGTCCTTGTTGACTTTTACTTACAATTCTAGAAAAAAAAAAAAAAAAAAAAAAAAGCTCCACAGAGACATTACTAGATTTCTCAGCTTCTTCACTAATCCATGACATTATTAAATTCATACGCTTTCCCACAGGTTCTGAAACACACTCCACAGATTAAGTGATAGACTTAAGCTAGGCAGTGGGTAATGAAGTAAAATTTTATGATTCACTGATTATTTCCTGTCTTATTACCTACCTGCTAGGCTGATGATGCTGTGAAATATTTTAAAGCTCTTACATTTCTTCTATTATACAAAACACCTCGTAGATAAGTAATGCGACACAAATCTCATTTTATTTAAAATATGCTCTAATTCATCTAATCTCACTATAACTTCTAAAGTATATTAACAGAAATCGCAACAGTCTGAAGAAATCTAACGTAATTCTATTGCTTCACATCCAGAACGATGAATTCTGGAGTTCACCTGTTCTACTACAGCAAAATTTTACTAATACTTTCCGAAGTAAATGTTTTAAACACACCTCCAACACGAGTCCTGACCTGTTTGCAAACGTGTCTGCCAAAGAAAAATGGAAAAGTTTTACACACATACACACACAGCCTTCATCTAATCTGGCTCTCTAGCAGTATGGATAAATAAAACTTGGGTCCCTAACCTATCCCTGACCCCATGGTTGTAAAGTGACAGAACTGGACTAGAATTTGGTTCTTCTCTCCACAGAAACAGATCTCACTTGATTCTTTCTTTCCACTTGATTTTTTTGGTTCCCTCATCTCTTCCTCAAAAACCAAAGAGATGGCACATGTAAGGCAAAGCAGAGCAGCTCTCTGCATTTTACCTTTAAAATAAAAATCTAAAGGATTGGAAGAACTTGCGATACTACACCAAAAGCCTTTAATCTAGAAATGACACACATTAAGCAGTCATCAAATGGTAAGTACTACTACGTTATTATTTTTGCCATAAGGAAGGTAGTTTTTTTAGGTTGCACGTACTAGCATGGTAGGCGGCAGACCCATTTAACAGATCTTTTAACTTGCACTTAATTATCCTTATTTGTCTTTATTTTAGACTGCAACTTTACACCATCGTTTATGACCTGCCCACAGTGACCTCGATTTTTTTTCCTCCTGCACTTTTATGGACTGCTTCACTGCCATATTTTCTTGAAGTAATAATTGGCCAGGTCCTCCGAGCCCTGGAGACACAAACATCCTCCACTGCCTCACAGGAGATCTTAAAATCTGACCCAAATACAGCTTGGAAAGACCATCATTGAAATGGTCTCTGCAGTTAGGATCCACCAGCCCATCGCGGACACGGGCTCGCCGCTGCCAGCCGCAAGCCACTTCCCGGAGCCCGCCCCGACGGGGAGGAGGTCGCTAACCGAGCGGGCTGCGGGAAGCCGCGCCGACGGGAAGGAGGTCGCTAACCGAGCGGGCTGCTCCCGCCCCAGCTCTCGCAGCCGCCCGCCGGCGCTCTGGAATGAATGAAGGCGCCGTCACCGCCCAGGGAGCCTGGCACGCAGGCTGCGCTCCCCGCGGCGGTGCGGACGGGGACAGTGCGG